TTGGTCAGTGACTTGTATAGATCGGTGTCCCGGGACAATCCCAGCCTAAATGATGTTGCGGTCATTGCCTCCGAACACGCCTCCACCTTGTTGACCTCCTCCTAGTACCAGATGACGTATTGCCGAAGGGACTCCTCTTTTTTCCACCTAAGGGTCAGTAGGGCGCCGATGTCCTTTGGTTACTTACTGCTGGTGATGAACCGAGCTATGAAGAGCTCCGTCAATTGTCTTCAGGAATTGATACTTTTAGGGGTCAAGTTCTTGTACCATTTCATGCCTATGTCCCCCAAGCTCATGGGGAAAACTTGGCACAGTACCCGTTGATCGGTGTCGTAGATGGACATCAATTGCTTGTACTGCCATAAGTGACTCTCGGGATTCGTCCTTCCATTATAGATTTTGAACTGTGGGATGGTAAACTTTTTCTGCACTTCGGTCTCCCTAATAGCCTGAATGAACGATGAAATGATTTCGTCAGCATCACCCACGGGCTCAGGCTTGCAATGTGTGCCGAGGCACACTCGGGGATCCCCTCGGGGCCTCTCTTCTCGTGGCCCCCTGGGTGTGGACTTTGCCTGTGACTTGGCGGCCCTAATGTCCTCGGGTATCCCACGGCGGAGGTCCTACCCAGACAGGCTCATTTTTTGGTCCAATTCAAATCTCCCCTTGGGGGCCGACCACCCACTTTGACGGTCATGCTCCTCGGGTGAGCGCCCATGCCAGCCTTTCCTAGAGGCCTTTTGCCTGGGACCCCAGGAGTTACGACTCCGCCCACTGGCGCTTTTCGACTGCTAAAAATTGTTGAGTCACCGCTGAACCTTGGCGTTTTCCTTCTCAAGTTACTTAATCCATTTGCCCATCCGCTTCTCCACCATCTTAACGATATCGTGAGCCAAAAGGTCGTGCCCCCCAAGGCCTTGGTCCATAGGGAGTGTTCGTTGTGAGGAATGCTCCCCTACGTCTGACTGGCTCAAGAGACCTGGTTCTGGGACCATTGGAAGCTGGACAACCTCTGTATTCCTTGCACGCACACTCGCTACTCCCTCACCCTGAGATTGAGTGTTCACCATTAGATGATCACTACAGGGAAAGATGCTCGACTTCCCATAGACGACGCCAAATTGCACAAAAAATTTCTTGCAATAGTTTGAGATAGTGACCTTCTGCTTGGTGGACCTGCAACAATCACAGGGTCAGAAAAGAGGGCAAGGTGAACACCCGGTTTATCCCCTCCAAAGCTTAAGTCAGCGTAAGATTCGAGGTTCAAGCTTGATAAAAAAAATTCTATTTTGATTCAATGTTGTATACCTTTGCTCACTTTTCTGAGGGGTATTTATATCTAGATTAGCAATGATTGCCCAAGGACTCAAGTCCCATTAGAGCATTTAATGTATGACATATCTCCTACAGTGCAATGAGTGCTGGCCACTCAAGTCTTCCTTTACTCGACGATAGAATGATAGGATGAGTGCTTGGCTCCATGCCAAGCATTTATACCTGCCCCCCGAGTACCCACATCTCTCAGATCGGCATCTGACACTCTCAGATGAGCATTGAACACTCGGGAGAACAGTACCTCGGGGGAAGTCGAACGTGTACCTTCGGCGTACTAGCCATCTATGCCTAGCTATCATGACAACAGGTTCAGACTCTAAATGTGCAGGCGCTCATTAATACCTGGTTACCATCACTCGTATCACCATAAATGAGTAGTCAAGTCGTATTAAATGCGTTGCCAACTGTCATACTCGACTTTTAAGAGCCATAATCTTTCGGCTTACCTCCTCGACGCCTTTTGGGCATTACAACGGCTCCATTTTTCCACGCGTCAGTCTAGTGGCTGCAAAGCCGCCTAGAGTCCCGCCAAAATCTAATAAATTATTTTCTACTATGTTTACTATTTTTTCTATTCATAAATTTTAGATTAGTAATATCAGAAAATTGCTACAAGTTACAGTAAAAAAATATACTCGATAGAAGGAGAGAAGGATATTGCAAAAATGACATCATGCTGTGCAAACAAGAGTTATTCTCGATTAACTCTGTAATAAAGATAATTGTACATCGAAAGAGTGGGAGACAGAAGAAGGATTTCTAATAGTCAGAATAAAAGTACAAGACAAAGATTGATTGGTTACAAATTGACCAGATAAACTCCTATGAATTTGAAGGTTAGTTAAATAAAATATATTGAATGAAAACCACTCAGTTCTCATTACTTTACTAACCGATCATTGTATATTTTTTCATAGGTCAAACAATATATAAACTAATATGTTGTGCATTACATCAATTACAAAAAGCCACTTTTTGTGTCCATTGTGGTGCGAAGAAGCTCCAATATGAACTCCCAACGTTATGCTGTTATAATGGTCAAATATAACTAGCTATTGTCGAAGTTCCAAAAGAGTTGCAAAATTTATTTACATCCAATTCTGTTGAGGCGATTGAATTTCTTAGGCACATTCGAGCTTATAATAACATTTTTTCATTTACGTCTTTTGGAGTTAATCTTGACAAGGAACTTGCGATGGCTAGACAAGGAGTTTTTACATTTCGTGTCCAATGACAAATTTATCATGACCTTCCAGTCTTGATGTCAGAACAAAAAAGCCCGTATTACTTTTAATTGTATTTCTTTGATACCGATAACGAAGTACAAAATAGAATGAGATTACAACAAGATATCAACCTAGATGAGGGAGCTGAAATCCTTGCATTAATTCTTAAATAATTCACATCACTTTTATTTCTATTGTAACAAAAAATTCCCCTTTTATGTGGAAAAAGATGGTATCAATAATTATAATTTTAGGCATGTTTATTTGTTGGTAGCTTGGAGAATTAGTGGGGTTAGGGGGTGCAATCGTAATGCTTCCTTGGCTACACATTGTAAGTAGGGGAGATTTGAGAAGTCGGATTCGGACATGACCCGATTGGATCATCAACCTCCTCTTCAGCCTTCTGTTGCACCCTTGCGTTCTTATTACTTAGCTTGGCCATTGCCCACTCTACTGAGATGGATGGCAGGGGTGTCCATGCCAACAGCAATCATGTTCTGCAACCATGAATAACTTTTACTTTTCAACGTCTCCGAGAAAGGGCTTTCCGTGGCTACTCCCCACTCGCCATATTCATACCAATCATTGATGTTTTTAATTTTCAACTTTTGGGGACAATAATATATTGCTTATAACATTAAGATTATAATTTGAGAATTATTATTAATTATAAATATGATTAATAAGTAACCCTATCCACGACGGTGACGGCGACGGCGACAGTTCTATCTTTCTAACATCAACACGAAAATAACTTTAATGCCCTTAACATAAAAGATTATTTACTTATTGACCTTTGGTTAATTTTATAACTTCCAATCACAAATTGCCACATCGATATGATAAAATTGAAGGGAAAAAATTAATTAATTAATATAATAGAATTTTAATCCAAATGAAACAAAATCATGTTTATTCCATACATTTTGTCACAAAACTCAAACTAAATCTAATCAATTTATTTATTGAAAAATATTTATTTTCAAAATCAAATTATTTAATTTTATCCATAATTCATCCAAAATTTGATTAACTTTATTAATTAAATTAAATTTATCGCAAACTTGAATCAAGTCTAAATTAATTCAATTAATTATCTCAAAATTCCAATCAATTCTTGTAATTTATTTAATTTTGTGCTAAAACTCAAATTTCATTTAGAAACAAACTTAATTATGTAATAACCTAATATTTAATCACACACGTGATGTGCACAGAGAAGAGAGAGATACGATAAGTGTTAATTCTCCAGCTCATTGAACTTGAATTTCACATATTGGAAATCGAAGATCGAAATGGAAGCCGCAGACGCCGAGGAATTGACAGCTGAATCGCCCGTCCGACACATGAGTACGGTGTCTCGGCATCATTTCGGGAACTCCAGAGAAACCACAGATGCCTTCTCCATTACCATCATCGAGGTGCTACTCCACGAAATGAATTTTTACTGTAATTTAGGGTTAGTACTCAATTGCTTTCATTTTTTTTTTTTTTTTTAAATAAAAAAATTCTCATATAAATTCTTAGGAATCAAATGGAAGATAAGCGTGCATACCTGATTTTTTTTTTTTGGTCGACGTTATTGGTCCAGAGTATGAAAGAAGATTATGGGTTGTTCGTCTGGCCTTGTAGTATTGTTCTAGCTGAGTACGTTTGGCAACAAAGATCTCGCTTTTCCGGAGAAAATGTAGTCGAGGTATGTTTTCAAAACACTCAAATTATGCTCATGTCACTTACTGTATTTGTTTTTTTTGTATAATTTAAGCATTAATATACCCTGTTGTACTGGGGTGTGATTATCTATTTCTTTATCTACTTGTTATTTTGCAGATTGGAGCTGGAACTTCATTGCCCGGATTGGTCGCCGCGAAAGTGGGTGCAAATGTAACATTAACTGATGATATGAATAGACTCGAGGTAGTGATTGCTAGTAATAGTGGTTAGCATGTATTTCAGATTCTTGCTTGAACTATGGTGTTATTGTGTTATTCTTTGTAACTGTTAACTAATCTAAGTTCCCAATCAGGTGGCCTGTAATGTCTTGTACAAACTTGTGACTTCTATATGCCATTTTGTGGGCCTTTCTTTCATCAAATGTTGAAACTGCGAATGAATTGGTTGATAATATATGTTTCTCAGGGGATATATTTACATCACGAGACTTTACATTTAAGAAATAGCTAAAAAAGAGATTCTATTTACTTTTAAATGCTAGTTGATACCTCAAATGGTCCAAGCTGGGTGCAATGCCTAGTTTTTGTGCAAAGTTATAAGTTCCAATCTACTGACTTTGTTTTACAACGAGATCCACCTTTTTGTGACGTTCTTTCCCTTTGAGACACCAAAGAGAACTCCCACACAAGGCGCAATTTTTCCGGTTTGTCTGCCAAAACTCTGACAGCTTGCTTCAGCTCTACATTGTTGTTGAGGACGTTCTCTAGCTAAATTGAAGTTTTAAGTTTAGTTTCCCTGTAGAAGCAGGTGTCTATTTACCTATACGGACAACCACGGATATGATTTCTTTATCTTAACATAGGGGCTAGGTCAGGTGATTCAGTATAGTAAATCCACTATTTGATTTGATTATAAGTGAGTGGCATACTCAACCAGTAATTAAGCTTGGAGTAGAAGTAGATTAGTACTTCATTAAATGAATCCTTCTAAAACTATGATATTTTTTTTCTTTGTATGTGCAAAAACTGTTCTTAGGAATATATACTGGACATGTAGCCCCATTCTAGCCATATCATTCATGCATTGCTTGAACTATAGTCGCCAAAAGTTTAGAGCCGAAGTTTATGACACAATTTCAAAATATGATCCACTAGAAAGAATAGGCATGACATAGATGTACTAATGAGTTGGGTTGTGTGTGTGTGTTTTTTTTTTTTTTGGGGGGGGGGGTGGACTTCTTTAGCTCCAAAAAATTGATGTACTTCCAAATTTGAAATTGTAGTAGGTGCAAGTTGGATTTTGAAACTATAAGTATTAACTCTTTTTCATTTCTAAATACATGTGGGAAAAAAAGACGATTGAATTGGAGTTATACATTGCTTCTGTGATACACTATGAAGGACGGACATTTTCGAGAAGGTGACATATCCGTGTTAGACACCAACACTCTTCGGATACTCTTTTATCTGTGTTCATAATTAAATGAATTTTTTTAATTTTGGCCACGTGTCTGACACTTCTTTGGTGACGTTCTGACACTTCTTTAGAATGTGTCCACTACTAGGGGTGTTCAACCGACAAATAGGGTTGGAAGTGTCAACTTCTGTTGGCCGATCTGTAAGCTGTCGAAAATGGGAATGATAAATCGAACCGAGCCGAACCACACAACCAACCAAGCCGACAACTGATCCTATGTGTCGGTTGGTTTCGGTTCGGTCATTGAGTGGAATGAGCCCACACTTTTGAATCAGATTTAGAAAAAAAAAAAA